AAAATGACTACTAAAAAAATAAAAAGTTTCAAATATTGAACTTTTTTGAAAACAAAACATCACAGTTGTTGAATGAAAAAAGTGAATTTTGGTTTAAGTAGATGGTTCAGAAATGGTTAACTCTAAGAAAGTTGTTGATTCTTATGCATATTTTAACAGATTTCAACTGTAATCTTTGAGAAAATATGCATAAGAATCAACAACTTTCAACAACTGTGATGTTTTGTTTTCAAAAAGTTCAATATTTGAAACTTTTTATTTTTTAGTAGTCATTTTGTGCGATCTTGGGTGTTAGAGTAAATCTAAGAATTTTCATTTTCTGATTTTTGCTTTGCCTAACAGACAAATAAATAAAAATATGAACACATATTTTTAAACAAATCCTCTTTACTAATTTATTAAAAAATTTAATATGAGCACTTATATACAAAGATCACGACAAAAGTAATGCTTCTTGTCATGTTGGTCCAGAATGCCAAAGACAAATGTTAGCAGTTATGGCAGTAGAAGTTGAACCTTCCATTCTATAACCCATATTTTCATTTTTCTTTTTTGTAGATAGCAACTGAGCAGCAGTTTGGCCAAATAGTGTCTGATATGAAAGTGTACACAAGGCAGAGGTATATCATTGAATTCTTTTATGCAGAAATTTTACCTATTGATATTTACTGACATTTGTCAAACATTTATAGAGATCAAACAATGGATGTGAACAATGTGTGGCAAGCCACATTTATGAGTACATCATGCAGGCTCTTGTTCATTGCTAGCAAAAAATGCAGAGCCAATAGTGGTGACTATGTGGAAAAATAATCTTTTGTAGCTGAAAACTTGCTCTATCCATCAATGTTATTGTATTTTTAGTATCTGTTGTAGTTTCCACAAAAATATGTAGAAGGCATTATTTTTAAAACATCTTCTGTACACTATATAACACTTTCAATAGAGATATAAATTGTTTGGCATCAAACAATTGTTAGAAAGCTAATCTCTTTGATTACTGCTAGACTGTAATGGGTTCAACTCTTGTTGGGTACATCATTATTGAAGCCCTATATCAAATAAAGTTCAACTTAGTAAATTTTTACTAACAACAAAAGTGAAATGTTCTAAATTCAAGTGACAAAAAAAAAATTTTTGCAGTAAAAATTTTTCTCATAAATTCTCCATATTTTTGACAGAAACACTTATATATAAACAATTTATTTCTACTGTTTTCAAAATGGACAATTTTCATGATACACATAATTTAGGACAACAGTGTCTATCATCTAAAGAAAAAGAATGTATTTTATAAGAATTATTTTGTTATTTATCAATCACATGTAACAAAATGTAACTTACAAGTATTTTACATTTTTATGTGTAAATTTGAAACGACTGCCAAGAATAGGCTACTAACAGGATACACTATCAATGAAATCTACCTATTTAATAAGTAAAGAATAGTAAAATTGTATTGGTTGATTAAAGTGAAGATGAAATAAATCTAACAGATTTAATGAATAACTCCAACTTCAGCTGTTATCAAAAAATCGACTGAGAGTAAAAAAAAAAAAAAAAAAAAAAAAGTAACATCTTAATGCAGACATAATATTAAATGACTTTGATAAATCATGTCCAGAAACATTTTTAGTCATAAATATTACTTACTGAATATACAAAAGATGAAATTTACAAAAGTATATTAAATGCATATAGAGTTTGGCACAATATTCTTTTCTAAATTTAATTTTTAGTATTTTGTGTCTAAGATGTTAAAAATCATAAAAATAATCTTCAAGGATGATACATGCATATTGAAACATATCAAAGAAATTCATTGTACATTATTTTACTTGAAATTATGTTTTGTTCCACTTTTCTCATGTAGATATTTCATGATTGTGTTTGCCTTCTTTTGTTTCGGAGGTGGTAAATCTGAAGTAAGATTTTCAATACTCCTCATTTTTAAGCTATAATGGAAGTTATTCAATTCAAAACAGTTCAGGTTAAAAAGAGGAATGTAGTAGACACTAAAAATAGAAATCAATCTCATGAGTTTAAAAATGAAATTATTGCATCTTAACCTGTTCACTGACATTGATAACTTGTCTTATGATAGTTTGTTACTCTGACAGCATTAAAAATATATACTTGGCAATGAACAGGTTAAAGATTTAATACTGGCAAATATAAAAATAGATATAAATTACCTCACTATTCAAAACACTCTGAAGCAATATGACATGGATGGATTCTTTCATCACAATGAAGCAATTCAATTGAATATATATATATATATATATATATATATATATATATATATATACACACACACACACTAAGTACTTACATATCTCAACAATGGCTTATGAAAAATAGGAATATACATTTTTTTATGCATGGGTGATAGGCAGGAGAAAGATGTTTCTTTCATGTGTATTTTAAAGACTTTTCTGGTCCATTAGACATTAAAAAAAAAAAAAAAATCTATCATCATCAAGTGGTAATCCATCTGCTAGCAGACTGAAATTTGTCCAGTCCTTTCTGCAGCTTCTGCTAAGTTAGAGATCCAGATTTTAAAATCTGGATTTTCACTCAATTTTGATTGCTTTGGTGACTGGTTCCCAAGTTTTACTTTTAGTTCTCCAGAAACATGCAATCCAGAAGATGTGGGGCCTAATTCCATGGATGCAGGGTTTTGCGTTGGTTCACTTACAGCAGCAGCAACAGCAGCCAGTGGTATATTCGAAGTGTGGGCTGCTGCCATCTGTGCACTAACATCAGTCACGTGTGTTGATCTCAATGAAATATCCACTGAACTCACTGAGGCTTGATATACATTAGACATTGGAGGAGTCACAAAAACAGAACATGTGGGGTGAGGTACTGTGGCAACAGGTATACAATCTGCTTTGACTGCTGCAGAATGAAGGCTGGGTTTTTCTTCAATGGACTCTTTGGAGTTGCTAGTTGCAGCAATTTTTGTCGTTGTTGATAATGTTAATGTAGAAGTGGCAGTGATGGTGGGAATATTGGTAGTGATGACATTCTCAGCCTTTTTAATAGATGGCTCTACTTCCACAGCAACACAAGAATTTTCTTTGCACTCAAAGCTGTCATCAGATGTGGAAGCTGCCTGATCTGGACTGGATGATGCCGACTTTTGAACTAAAAGATCTTGGTAGGATTTCATTGAAGGGTGAAGGTAAAATGTTGCCAATGGAACTTTCATGAGGTCTGAAAAGAAAAGTTTAACAGAAAAAAAAAAAATTAACAAGTTTTAATTTTTTTTTTTTTTTTTTTTTATTTCAGTCATGACTTACCTAGTCAGAAATTGCTTTAAATGATATTGCTATCTAAATACCTTTATTGAGATTGGCTCCCATAAGATTTAAGAATCAATATTGTAACCTCACATTTTGATGAAGCTGATAAGTGCAATATTTGATGTATGTAGTAGACACTAGCATCTTTACAAATGTATTAATCCATATGAAAAATATTAAAATAAAGCTCTGTATTAAATGAAATGAAACCAAAATATAAGAGAAAGTTGAACAGATGGGTCAATCTTTTCATTTGTCAAATTATGAAGCATTTCCCATATCTTGCCAGACATTTCCCTCATCTTTTGAAATTGGTCTAAAATGTAATAAGGAACTTATTTTTTATCTTTTCTCGCTTAAGAATGCTGAAGTTTTGAGCTGAACCTCATATAATGGTTATGTTAAGTCAGTCTTATATATGGTGGGGACAAGGAGAATTGCAGGTTACAATTTTATCATCATCTAAAGGTATAGCTTTACATTTAAATTCTTAATATCTAGTGTAACTAGATTAATTTAATTCATTTTTCTATGGTTTTTGTTTTTATCATTATTGTTTTTAATTATCCCATGTTGTAATAGCAAGTTTTGTGAGGAAGGGAGATATGTTGTATGATTCGGAATATAAATGTACTAAAGAAGATTCCAAAATTAGTCCACTCTCAACACATTTTCATTTTAATAAATTACATTTTTTTTAATTATAAGTTCATTCTTTAAGTTAAAGTTATGGTCAAACTTTTTATGATGAATGACTACTGCACTAATGTAGTTTTGTAAAAAAATCATTTTTTTATAATATAAGCTTTATTTAAATTCATAGATGTTTAGGAACATTTTTTGCAACCTATTTTGTAAATTCTTGTTTTTAGTATTCAACCCACCTAAACCTGTTGTGTAACTATAAGCTCTCAATGTTTAACCCACCTCATGTATACTCTGGCATAATATGTGACATCATTGCAAATAACACAGGAAGTCTTGCAAACAGTGACACATTTAGAACCAATATTTATAGGGCAGGTTTGAGTGTGTTGAATAATAAAGGATTAAGGTTGTTTTTGTTTTGTGTTAATTAAATCTCATTATATCTTTAAGTAACTGTAACAAATTTTACATTCAAATTGCATAAAATCTTTTCATTTGTAGTTGCTATTGAGTAGCTAGGTAGTATTACATATCTAGTTTTATCAAGTTTGTTATTTCATTTTTTGAATTTGAAAAACTAAAAATAGAAACAAAAAAGATGCTTATGCTTAGAATAATAAAAGAAACAGTTGAAATTTTTAAAACGCATAAGGAGAAAAGAGGTATTGGAGAATTTAACATTCACAGGACAAAGAAAGAAAGAGAAACAGAAGAAAGTAGTAAGTAACCTATCTAATGAGCTAATATGACTGGATGTCTGACAGGGACTGGGAAAGATGGTGAGAAGATAAACCTTACTCAGCTACAAAGGATAGGAAGTTATGGAGAGACATGATCACCCACCTCCTGAATGGACATGGTACATAAAAGAGTGTTTAACTTGTAAATATCTAACACAAGTAATAAAACCAAATTATTTTGCTTTTTTATGATGACATCCGTGAGGCTTATTGCAACTTTGTGTATATATCTTATTCACATATATTTATTATGTAAGTATTATGAGATCTTAAATTCTTTGTAACTGATACATAATTAATGTTACTTACATGAAAGACGATGCCTGTACTCTTCAGACAAAGGAACAATTCTCATAATTGAGTCCTTGGATTGTTTTCTTTTACGACTACCTATGATGGGGGAAGAAACAGGATGTCTTTGCCGGCGTGGGGGAGCTAAAAGCATGTCAGTTTTCATGACTGCAAATAAAAAGAAAGACGAAAATATTTCGCAAGTTACAATCACAGTAAATATGACTTTATTGAGCCACAAAGAAAGAGAAATTTTACCACTAATACTTTCTAAAATGTGTTAAAAGCAGAAGTTTTTAGTAAATAAACTTTGGTACAATTTTTTTCACTGCTCAATACTACAAATAACACCCACAAAAGTTGTAAACCATTCCACACACAATATATATATATATATATATATATACACACACACACACACACTAACACAATAATGATATATAAGTTTTCATACATCAAGAACAACTTAGGAGGAAAGATGTATGACTAAGCAGAAAAAGTTTTTGTGTGACACATTTACCTAGTCCAATGAAGTCTTAAAAGAACAAAATGCATCACACAAAATTTTTTTCACATTTCTGTCATAAATCTTTCCTCCAATATATATATATATATAAGTACACAAATTTTATATATCAGCAAGAACATTTTCTAAAAAAAAAAAGTGGGGGGCGGTTCATGCAATGTGTTTCATCCAGTAGGACTTCATCAGACTAAAGCAATGTTTATATTGATGTGACTGCGCATGAAGGGAAGAAGATATATAGATACATGTTTCATTAAATAATATAGACAAGAGTTGTCTATTTATTTTATGTAAATTCTTTTCACATCGTCTGATAAGCTTAATAACATTATCATTAAATGAAGAAAGAAAATCACAATATTGATACATATTTTTTAATCCTATCTAAGCTTTCGGCTCTTGTCTATATGAAAAGAATTTACATAAAATAAATAGACAACACTTGTCTATATTATTTAATGAAACCTGTATCAATGAAAAAATGCTGCCGAAATACACACACTAGAGCAAGAGAGACAGAGAGGATTAATACAAATATAAAATTTGTCATTTGGCTGATTGATGTTATATTTAGCACCCCAACTCCAGAGTTTTGTAGGTAAACCTTTTTGCAATTGTTTGGTCCACTTGTCAGCAGAGGTGTTTGTGCGTATGCGCACGCACAGGAGATACATAGATAGATATTAGTGGAAAGTGTTCATTTACCATGAGTACTGATACCTCCTGATGACCGCCGTGAATTCTCTGGAGAAGACTTTGGCCTGGTGACATTTTTGCGATTCTTTTCTAAAACATCCATTGAGCAGGCTGGAAGAGTGGCAATTTTTGCATCCAAATCAAAATCCCTGAATAAAGAAAAATATAAATAAAAGTAAGAGATAAAAATAAATCAAAGCACATTGTCTTTAATTAAAGACTATATCACTCTAAATAAATTAGCTTCTTTAAAAGAACAGAGGTAGAGGAATTAATTTTTTTTTCTTTTTGAAATGTAATAAACTTTATTAATTCTATTTTTTATTATCTAGGAATGCTTAACAAAAATAAAGTAGCAGATATCAAAAATTAAAACATATCATAGATAATGTAATATTTTGAAACTACACAATAAAATGGATTAAGTGATTTATGATTGTACTTAGTAAGGATATTAAATTAATTAAGAATTATCTTGATTCTGAGATAAAACCCTTGAGCTCAAGATTTCTCCTTAGTAGTATTTGTGTTGTTGGTCTGAAGAAAATATTGCTTCCCTTAATTTTTTTTTGATATTCTATCCTAGCACAAGGTGTAATAATTTTGTTATAATCAATATAAAGAAACATTGACATGCAAAGTAGGTGCTCATTTAAACTAGTCTGGATGTAGACTCTTTTACATGGGCAAATTTTTAAATACTATTTTTGGCAATTTTTAGCCTTCATACTGGCAAAAAATAAATTTAAAAAAAAAAAAAAATGTTATGTCTTAACGATGATTATTCCTTTAACCTCACTATTACTGTATACACGTTTGACTCCCTTGGCAATGTTTATTATTTTTAAAAGTAAAATAGATAATATATGTTTATTAAAATTTTTTCAGCAAGAGACCAGAAAAACTGGACATTAACATCATGGGAACCCAACTAAAGCAAACCCGTGAATTCAAATATCTGGGCAGCATATTTACTGAAAATGGCAAACTAGACAGAGAAATCAAGATCAGGTGTCAGAAAGTCAATGCAGTCAGTCAGTTACCAACCCGCTCCTCTTCTAAAACATCCTAGCATTTCCAGGAGCACCAAGGCAAGTCTCATCAACACCATTTTCCTACCAACGCTGACATAGCAGTAACAGACATGGCCCCTAATAAAAACCTTTGAGAGGAAACTGATCACTTGTGAGATGAAATGCCTGTGGAAAGCATTGAACAAGACCAAGCGAGACAAGATCAGGAATGAGGCAATAAGAAATATGGTAGGAGCAATACCAATCATACAACACATTGAACGACAGAGGATCAAGTGGTTCAGACACCTTACTCATATGCCTATCAACCAATCAGCTCTACAAGCATACACCCTCAGGTACTCTGGCTGGAGAGCGAGAGGTAGACCAAGAAGACACTGGAGTGACTCAGTGACAGACACTCTAAGAGCACACAAGACATCTCTTTTCCAGGCCACTCGCCTTGCCACTGACAGATGACTGTATCTCCCTGCAATGCCGAACAGCACAAACAGAAGGAAAAACTAAACTAACATAAAAATTTTCTTGTTTTAAAGCTCATCGATTTTTTTTTTTTTTTATATTTTTATAAAATTATGAATATAACAATTGTTTTGTGGTTATTTATCTATAAAATGGTAAATAATAAATACTGAATTGTAGTTGGTTTACTTATTTTGATAATTTTGTAATTTTTTAAAGAAATTTTTGATGTTTATGAAAGATAAATAATAAATATTGCATTGTACTTGGTTCACTTATTTTTATAATCTTGTAAACAAACATTTCCAAGAGAGTCAAAAGCTATACAGTAATAATAATCTCAGAGGAATAACTGTCTTTTTGACATGTTGTTTTTTGTGAGCCCAAAAGTTTTATTTTTCTTGCTAATCAAAGGGAAATGACAAATCATTTTGAAATTAACTAAATAAAACAAAATTTGGAAAAATTATAATCAATAAAATGAGTATCAATATTAATATAATTGTAATTAGAGAAAGAGAGACATTTTGTTCAGCATAAGTCGTTTAAAGTTTGTTTTTGTTTGTGCTTTTAGAATACAAGAGAAAAACTTACCCGGTTTTATAACGTTTATCAGGATGTGTGTCTGACTCAGAAGCAGTACGTTTGATCCTGCGAATAGGCTGTTCATGGAACGGAGTTTCTTTAATCTCACTCCTGAAGAGTAAATAAATGATTTAAAAAATATCTTAAGAGATAACTGCTGTTTTTTTTTTTAATTGCTTGACTATATGTAAATATTATAAAATTAGTGAAAACGTTGTTCAGTTTAGTCAGTAGTATTATTAAGTAGATCTATCTTCTAGCATTATAAATTATATAGCTTATAACAATCAGAAGAGCCACATGGTATAAAAAAAAACTAATTCCAGATGGCTTTTATGTCCATAAAACAGCTGTAATTCAAATGCATGCAAGACCAACCATACAATAAAAAGTTGTGTTTTTTGAGTTAAGCATTGTTTCTCTGTTGTTAGGGCCTTTATTTTTGCAAATTGTTTGTGCAAAACACATGTGGAGAAGTTAATTGAAAAATCAAATTAACTTCTCCACATGTGTTTCACAAAAGTAAAGGCCTTAACAGTGGAGAACAATGCTTAACTCAAATAAAGCAACTTAATTGTATTCTGGTTGGTCTTCTGTACTTTATAATTACAGCCCAATTATAAACACAAAATTACATTTCTTAATTACTGTGGATCTTCTGATTAGTCAAAATTTACAACGCTCTAAAAAAAAAAAAAAAAAAAAAATCTATCTCATAAGGACACTTAGGAAACTCAATGCGGCTTTTAACTAATTTTATAATATTTTAACAATTTAAATGTAAAAATCTATTATAATTAAAGAAATAACAAATAATTGTATTAAAAATTCATTTTTCATTGATAAATTTTTTTGTTTTCAGAAAATATTGTCCATATTCATAAAAACAGCTAAAAGCATTTGAAATTAAATAATATATTTGTTTTATTGAGTTTTGTATGTTACAATTCAGAGCTGATTTTCAGGTGTGTGTGTGTGGGGGGTCCAATTAAAAAAAACAAAACATGATTTGCATTCCTCAAAGCCTTGTGCTTTTAACTATTGTAATCACCAAACCTGACGCAATTGAATTTATAACATTTTCATAAAATTAGTGGGGGGGGGTATAATAAATATAAAAAAGAAATATTTCTGCCATGACCTTTTAAAAAAAAACAAAACAAAAAAAACATTTATAATAATTTCGATCATCTGTGAATAGTTTCTGAAAGTTTCATTAACATCCAACAATTATTTTTTTGCAAGATTTTCCAAATTAATGTGTGTCATACAAAAAAAATGTGCTAAAAATTGTATATGTTATTTTACTAGTTCCAGTGATACAAAGAGAAACAAGGTTTTTTTTTTTTTTTTTAAAATCAAAATTTAGAATGTTCTAAAAAGAAGGAAAAATTTAAAAAAATAAAATAAACTTTGATCTTTCCTCTTAATAATAACAAACATTTAGACAATAAAATTTTGTTTTTGTCAAGTTTGGCGTCTTTTTCATCATGCTATGCTCTTTTTTTTTTTTTAGCAATCTCATGGAGGTACCTACATTAACATATAAAATGACTCCATATACTGCCATTAATTCTTTCACAAATTCAACAGGAAATAAATTTTTTATTATAATGTTTGTAAGTCATAATAGATACTTAATCTGAGAAAAATGAATATTTATAACTATGCAAAACTGTTACAATACCAAAAATATACTGAAGTACTGAAGACACTTACCCATCATCTGAATTAACATTGTAGATGGTCTGAATCTCAGCTAATCGTTCTCGGGAGGCAGGTAATGCACCAGTGGCAATAAGATTCTTATAAATAGCTCCTTTGTTTGTTCTTTTAGATTTACGTGTCGGCACATGAACTTCTCGGTATATATAATCAGCTTGTCGGCAATTGTCAAAGCCACTAATTTTTGTCCAGTTGACATCTCCACTGGCATCACTTTGATGGCTTTTGCTGCCATCAGATTCATTGCCATCTTTGCTTGTGTGGGTAGGGCTTGATGTGGAAGGTGAGGAGTCTTTGGCAGGATATTCAGGAAATTTGCTGTGTGGGATGTGTATACAGCTTTCTTCATTTTTATAGGTCCAATCCTGTTTCACTGTGTACTCTATGCTTTCATCCTCATTTCCTGGTTCATGCTTTAGAGTAGTTGATGAGCAAACATTATCCTTCTGACTTAATAAGGAAGACTGAATAAATAAATAATTTTTTTTTTAATGATGATACTAATTTATGACATTGTAACAAAAGAAAAATTCATCATCCAAAGAGATAAAAAAAAATTACTAAGGTATTGAGTACTAAGAGGTTAATTATTCAATGACAATGCTCTAACATATTCCAAAAGTATACTTTAAATATGTCAATAACTTTTATAATGAGTAGTTTTAAAATAAAATTATAACAATTTTAGAGAAACATTAGGTAATTTAAATAATTTTAAGAATGTGATCATACAGGATATAGACCAAGCAATTATACTCAGTTTTGAACCTATAGTTATATTCATCATGATATAAAAAAATACTGAGCGGTTGAAACTTTAAGAAAGTCAATATAGTTACTGTTCATTCATGATGCCTTATGATTGTCATTTTACATCAAAAGAAAAAAAACCCAAAAAAACACAAACAACGAGGTTATCTCCCTTGCATAGACGCGGATTTATTGGATGAATAACAATGTTCTAGCTACAAAGCAGTGAAAATTGTTTTGTAAATTCTACTTAGAGCCTCAACCATTTGGTTAACAGTTGTTTGATACTGCTCATTCCTACAAATCATAAAATCAACTGAGATTTATATGGATTGAATGAGCAAATAAGCAGCTGTGGAAGAGAGATTTAAAATAACCACACTGAATCAAGCTAAAACATTTAAGAGGTTAGATGTCTGCTTTTTAATAGAAGTTTAAAAGAAAAATAAGAAATATTTTGTAGAAGCAGTAGTCTAGTCACACAAGTAATGGGAATGTATCAGAAGAATAGAAAACATAGCATTATATTAAATTTAATAACCTCTTTAAGTGTGATGTCCTTTCAAGATATAGGTAATCATGGCTTTCAACAACCACATTTCCTTTAAAATCTGTAAGCTATATATTGGAAAAATAGTGGAGTGGTTTCATGTTCTCTGTGGTTTTGAATTCAGAATGATTATCATACAAGACTAGAGAGCACAGGCTTCCCTGTTATTTTAACTTATAGTTGTGGAGAGAAAAGGAAGGAAGGAATTTATGTCTTTCCAAAGCATTAGTGTTAAGTGAACGTAAACTGCCTTGGTTGGAATTTGAAGCCAGCTTACCAATTCCATTTTGTTCTAGTACGCCTATGCAATGATTAAGTTATTTAATTTATGATAATAATGAGAAAAGAACAGTGATTCAAATAAAATGTCTCTTCAAAGTTTTATAATGATATTATTGAGTATATAATATAATGCACATACAAAGTCAAAAGACAAGTTGCAATATTTTTCTAATCTTTGTCATTATTTTTTAAACAACACTGCTTGAAAGCATAAAAATAAATAAGTTGATCAATTCAATGTAGTAGTGGTAGTAGTTGTAATAATATGGCATTCTAAACTCAAAGAGAGATGATGCATTTTTTCAAAGCTCCCAAAATTAACGGATTTTAAGTTTAACTGAAAAAAATGTAAGTAAGCTTTAAAGTAATATAAAATCAATGTAGGTATATGTATTGATATTTACTAAGCAGGTCAAAATACACATTAAAATATTAACTGGAAATGCTATAAGCATTAATTTCTAAAGATTTGAAAAGGCCTTCTCAGTTATGTATTTGCTGAGATACCATATGTTAGCATTCAAACAAGATTTTGAATATCAATTTTCAAAGCAGCCAGTAGGGTTTCTCTACTTGGAAAATGAATGCAACTCCATCTTCTTGAACCCATACTACTTTTCTTTTGCCTCTTTGACAGACTAACAGTTTAATTACTTATTAAAATAAAATACATAAATAAGGTTGAAAAAGAATAACAAAGAGAAAACTTGTATCAATAACAAAAATTTCTATATTGGTTATCAATCATAAGATAATCATTTAGAAGGACATCAATCTCTACCTTTCCTCTCTAATTCCTAGTGCTGGAATTGAGATCAGATAAAGCAAAAAAAAAAAAAAAGACACACACACTGAATTTGAGATTATCATTATAATACACCGATTTACTCAGAATAGTCACTATTTTTGTTATACTCACATAGAATATCTAGATACCTGGTAATTGAGTTGAATCCCTGGGTTAGGCAGTGCTCTGATTAAATAGGAAGAGGCTGATAAGTGACTTCACAAGAAAGAATTAACTCATATATGATTTTCTCTAGCAAGAACAGCAGAATTAGAATAATTGACCCCATAGATTGAATAAAGGATTCATTTTGATATTCCCAGAAAGTTACCAACTACATCAGGCATTTAAATAAATCCAGAAAGTATAACAGTTGAAACATTGTGACAATAACCAAGATGAAAACATTAATCAATGTAGAATAAACTGAATGCAAATATGCAGAAAAAATTCTTAGTAAGTCAACATAAAAAATGAACTAGTTTTTTAAAAATTAAAGTAAAACACTAAGCAATGAGCATTTGGCTATTGTAAAGTGATGGTTAGTTTATTAACCCATTCAAACCAAAGATAGAGATTTCAACTTTTGTGGATGCTCCAAGAGCCTGGCCTTGTGTCAAAGTTGGTTCACTTCAAGAATTATATATAACCATTATAAGGTTAGTAAAACAAACAAAAAAGAGCAAGAGGATAACTGTGCCATTTTAAAAATTTAAACAAACTGACATACCTCTCCAGCAGCATCTGCAATATGTGGGTCATTTTTATTTTCATTAAGTACTTGTGTTGCAAAATCTTCTTTGTTATTCTGTTGTATTGCCATAAATAGAACATCCATATTGTTGCTATCATCAGGACTTTCATTGTAACATTCCACTGAAATGAAAGATTACAGAGATAATAACTCTGTTATGTCAGTAACACTTGCATTAATTCCAAACCACTGACAATCATTTTCTACTTGAATTGAAATACACAATATACAGATCAAGTACTGAAACTTGCTTTGAATAAATTTAAGGCATAAAAAAAAGAGAATACATCAATTTCCAGTTTTAAGCACTGATATTACAAGGTAATGTCATTCATCTTCTTGCACCAACATCAACGCTCATCATCAGTGTGCTATTACAAATTTTTCAAGAAGGAATGCATGCACACAAAGTGTACTAAAGAATTTTCGATATCTAATACTTTTAGTAGCTGCTGTATCATGTTAAAATATTATAGTAAATGAAAGTTTTAATCAGTAAATCCTACCCATGATATAATAATTACATAAACATGTTAATAATCAATAAAAATATTCTATATTCTAATTAACTAGGAAATGTAGCTTGTCAGAACATTTTTCATGGAAATAATTATAGAGTAATGAGAGGCTTGTGACATTGCATCTATGGGAAAAGGGTTGTAAGGTGGAAAATAATTCACCACCTACAAAGCTGTATAAACACTATCAAGAATAAAGAGAGAAATTGGGCAGCTCCAGCTCAGATAGTAGCAATACTCCATTTTTGGTCTGATCTGATTCTTATAAACATAGAGCATGGCAGGTGTGGAGCCAGGAACTTTCTGGAGTGATATAAAGAACATCTTTAGCTATACATTGTATACGAGTTTCACTTGAAGTTTGGGATGGATAGACGCACAAAGCAATGAGCCTCTTTGACAGTGCAACTATTCATTGTGATTGATTAGAATTCAGAGTCAATTACCAGCTTGGTTTTTGTGGTATTGAAAGTTTCAAGCCAGTTTTCCCCCTCATTTGACTGTTAGAGCCAGGTCAGATAAGAGATCAGCTGCCAAGCGCTAGTCATCTAGAATTTTGGAGGGGGCACTCATACACTGTGGTATCATCTGCATCATATTACTAACAATGAGACTGTTCTTAGACAGATCATTAATATAAAGCAGAAAGAGTATCGGTTCTTGTAGATAGTAGCATTGATTTTATAGGCTCAAGTGTGGAGGCAATATTTCACTAACAGCAGTAATAAGGATTCAATTTTTTTATGCTTGTTTTTGTTACAAAAGTTGAAAATAGAAACAGTGAAAGAGTAGAATAAAAAAATTACTAGTTGCTGTATGAAAACAATGGAACCCATAAAATACCTTTATTTTGTAAAAAAAAAAAAAAATTTTTTTTTATATAAAAATTGATAATTACAGAGTAGTCCCCCTTATTTGTATATAATCTAAAAATTATATACAAGTAGTTTTTATTTTATGCAATGTCTATAACTTTTTGCTGTGTTAGAGGCACCTCTCTTGAATTGTTGATTTCTTTATAAACAACCCATATGTGAAAATCTAATAGTGCTAACAAAGTACTTAACAAAATATGCAATGATTTTTGCAGTATAGGTAAAATAGTTATACAAATTAGGAAGTGATCTGATATTTGGCTTAATGGTCACCTTTGGTAGCCTTTAAGTAATAAGTACTATAAATGCAACAAACCAATTTTTGACAAGAAAAGAAATTTTTTTACTCACTTTTTTCATTATTTTTGTCAGGATCAGTCAGCTCTTGATTCAGAGCATAGTTATTTGTTGACATCAAATGAGACTTGTCATTGTTATGCCATTTATAATCTGGATTTGCCTTAAGAAAGGCATCTTTATACTGCAATAGAATAAAAAACACTCAAGAGGAAAGGGTAAATAAAACTATTCAACATTCAGCAATATGTTTAACCTTCATGCTTGTAAAAAAAAAAAAAAACAGAAAGAGAGAAAAGAAAAGAAAAAAGTGTGTCAAAATTCCCTTGACACCGCTATTACTGTATACATTATTGACTTCTTTGGCAATGTTTTATTCTTTTAAAAAGTCATGCTTATAATTTTAATAAAACCCAAAGACATGAAAATAGATTTATACATTTTCTTTATTCTAGAAAATTTATTAGATTGCTTATGTAAAAGAAAATTTTATATTTACAAAATTATAAAAATATGTAAACCAACTATAATGAAATTATTTACCATTTTATAAAGAAATATGAAAAGAAATTTTTTTTATTCATAAATTTATAAAAAATGTCTGAACAAGAAAATTTAAATACACACAAATAACTAATTATAAATTTTGAAAAGAAATGCATTTTACAGACTTTTGTTTTGTTTTTCTTTTTTCTCTTTAAGCGAGTCCACAAACACTCAATATTGAGTGTTTATCTCCCTATTTATTGAGTGGACAAAGTTTTCCTTGTGGTTAATTACAGAATGTCTGTAATTTTTACTGCAAATATTGCATTGTAGTTGGTTTAGATATTTTGATAATTTTCTAATTTTTCATAAATTTTTGAAAAACTTCTTTTCAAATTTATTTCTTTATAAAATGGTAAATAATAAATATTGCATTGTACTTGGTTCACATATTTTTATAATCTTGTAAAAAAACATTGTCAAGGGAGTCAAAAGTGTAGAATAGTAATAATAATGTCAAGTGAATAACTGTCATTTTGACAATATTTTTTTGCAGGGATGAAGGTTAAACATTACCCAACATTCTTTCATTCACAGAGATAATCAATTACTGTTAAATTCTAATATTTCTTTGAAATTTGTCAGAATCCTACATTTTCAAAGCCTATTATTAACATCAGCATTTTACCAAACAGTTGGCTCTATCTCAAGACAACTGGGTTTAATATAAATTTCTGTTCAATTCTTAGTGTTACTGACTAAAAATACACCTACCGTCATGGATAAGCAAAATATATCAAGTAATTTTCTACACTTGTTTCTTACAAATTCTAGAATGTCATAATATTGAATTACATTTAAAATTTTGGAATAGACAGAATTTTCTAAATTTTTTTTCAAATAAAAGACTATATATACCTTTGCTTCTGATTACTAAAGTGGATATAGATAAATCCTGTAACAAAAACTATAATGCAATCTCAGTCCAATAAAAATATTAATATTACAAAAAAGATATTTAAAGCATATATTTGTACGAGAATGTGATCAAGCATTAGTTTAAGTGTTTTCATTATATAATAAATATATCTTAACAGTAATAAAGGAAGCTTACTTGTTTAGCAGTTGCAGTGTACTGCTGCTTTTGTTTTGGGTCCAAAGTAGCCCAAAGCTCACCAAGAATACGACTAATACTTCGATTATCCAGGTTGTGATGATAGTCACGTACCATACTTCGGTGCCGTTTGCAAAATATAAAAAAAGAATTCATAGGGCGCCGAGCTTCTCGGTGGTCACCTCCACCCTCCATAGCTTGGCTATCAGCAGACTGAAAAAAAAGAAAAATCCTCAAATAAGGTTGAAAATATTTTAAAATATTGATTTTAAGAAATGTCAAGATTTGCAGGTGCCATATTATATATAATATAATGGTTAACAAGCTGGACTTATAATTGTGAGTGAGTTTCATTGGGTGCCCCATACTTGTGGCCTTGTGTTAAACTAAGCTTAGTAAACAAATGGATATCTTGGTATAATGGTTAGTAAGCTAGTCTTGTTCAATCCTGACTGCATGCTACCTACTTGTGGGGGAAGGGAGCCTTATGCAAAAACTAAGCAAGGCTTCATAAATAATATAGCTGAACACATTGTGTTAATAATATTATTATTATTATTATAACATTTTGGCTGAACCAGTCTACAGCCTTCCACAAAGAAAAAGAGAGGACTATTTTTCTTTTTTACAAGAAAAAATTGGCAAAGAGTAAAGAAATGTTGGTTAATATAAAAACTGGTAAAAACTCATTCCCATCAGCACAGGTGATTCAATTTCCAGCAATTTGGACAATGAATATGATTCCATACATAGACATCCACTCTTTCCTAAAGGATTATACACTTGAAAAATGATTATATTAAATGACAATTTTTGTGTAACCTAACACTTTCATTTGAAAAACTTAGTATGTAAATTTATTAGAAATAATTTATAGAAAAAACTAACATATGCCTGTTGAAAGCCAGGATCTAAATGGATTAAAAGCAATATGAGGGCATTAATTTTAATAAATAGTCATGACACCTCATACATTTCATAACTAGACAAGCCTTTATTGTTTTAAATTCTTGAATTCTTTCATGTTTTTGTCCTTGTTTTTTTTACTTTTACAGTATGTGACAAGGTTAAAATAAAGTAGAATCAATTTGAGATGTTTTTGTGAATAATAACAATACTTGTTAAAACTAAAGTCGATATAAGAACTTTGTTCATAACCAAACCACAAAATATTTTGTAAAAAAAAAAAAAAAAAACTGATGTAAATAATTTTGTTAACTTGCTGAAGTAAAACTACAAATGTAAAACAACTGATGAACAGCTAACTCATTTATGGATGAGTAACTGTTACTCCAAGGCAATTTTTTTTAAATTCAAAAGAGATTTGAAAAGTTTTAAACACTTAATGGATCAATCAAGCAACAATTTTGTAGATTGTCAATAAATATTTAGTTAAGTTTCAAATGATTTTACACTTTTTTTTGTATATTTTGAAAAACATAAAATTAAAAAAAATTAAAAAAAATAAAAGTTTTAAAAGCTAAGGACCAATTTTGGAAAATATGTTCTAATGTAGAAAGTAAGAACCCATTTTGAGAAGAAATTCCAAAATTCTAAATGAAAATAAGATTTTATTTTTTAAATTCTAAATTTGTCCTCCGTCCAGTAAAATACATAAAAAATTCAAGACTCCAAACAAAATACCTAAAATGAAAAATAGAGAAGGAAGCGGAGAACGATTTGAAATTCTTAGTTTAAATTTATGGAATTATCACTCGAAAAACAAAAACAAAAAAAATCACCTGTTACTTCATAATAAAAAAAATATGAAAAAGTTGGACTTACATTGCTGAAAGTACAAACTAACGAAAGAGGGTTAAAAAAAATTTTAATAAGTATCTACGTGAGTTTTAAGAGAGAGTATATAAAAAGAAAGATTAATTTGCTAAACAAAAACAAAACATTACGAGTAAAAAATAAATAGTGCGATTTTGTTCCAGCATGATGAAACTTAAGTCGACTGCTGGAAGATAGATACTAAGATTTGACTGGGTACAAGGATTACAGTACACAGTGGCGCGAAATAAAAGCAAAAAAAGTAAGAAGAGGTAGGCAAAGTTAGTGAGGGTATAACGAAAAATTGTCCTGCAAAAATAAATGAATAACAACAAATGCAAACTAAACTCGATACAAAACTGAACCTAGACTTCAGGGATCATTTATTTAAGAATTGCTTTGAACAAATTCAAGGTTATTTGAAAAACTAAAAATAGAGATTGAGAGTTTTTTAAAACCAAACTTTAACGTCTTCCTTAGTTGATAGCCAAACTGTAAGTACTCAAGAGGCTGCATTTTTAATAAATAAAAATAAACAATAATTGAATCATTCAATTAAGTCTGATCATAATCTAATTTTTTCTCAAGAAATCACTGTTTAAAGGCGTTTTCATCAATTCATCGCTCCAATTTATTTGCTTTGCAGAAGTTAAGTATTTTTAATTCAAACTAATCTTCCGTAGGAAACTAATAAAAATCGAAACGGAATGAATTATTAAACTAAAAGTGAAACCATTTTATTTCGAAATGATAAACAAGAAAATTCTGTGCAAAATGTGAGGTTGAAGAATGGTCAAGGTAACTTAACTGCTGACTGAGAATTGATAATTAAAATTTTTAATTTAAAAAGAAAGGCATTTTAAAAATATGTCTACCACGCTGTTTGATTCAATGTCAAGTGAAAAAAAACTATTTCATTATTTGTTTGACTTATTTTTATGACTAAGTTAAAGTAAGTAAAAACTAAGTAAATCTTTCTTTAATAATGAGTAGAATATTTGGAGCACTATGATTTTTTTTATGTGTAACTTTATGTAAGCAACTTTGAAACTACATCTTACTTTTTCTTTAGTGTTCAGTTACAACTTACTTACAACAGTAACACTTATATCGGGTTTTTTGTCAGTTTGCCTTGTAAAACACGTTTTTTTTTCTATCAGTAAATCAAAGAAAATAAAGTTATTTGTTTGCTATAACACAATTAAAAAAAAAAAAGTTTTTAGTTCGAAGAAATACCCACTCATGATAATACACGACGCAAAGCCGCAATTTAAGGTTAGACTACTATTCTTCCCAGAAATTGCTTGGTTCCTTCGAGATAGGTGTTTGCTGTCTGACGGACAGTTCCTTGTCACTTGGCATCATTATTTATTAGTTTATTTCCCCAAGCGTAAAGACGAAAGCAAAGTAAATTTCAGGTTGTAATAAATGTAAAGCACTAAGGGAATGAACAGTCACCATGATTTGTTTTTAATTTTACAACACTAAACACACAATAAAAAAAATGATTCTTTAAGGAGTTTTCTAAAGAGATGTATTGTTTTTTTATGTTTAGTTTAAAAACGTTTTTAGCCAAACATTTCGATACACTAAATTTAATGAGAGAGAGAGAAAAAAAAAGTGCCTTGAAACTCCGCATTCAAAACTTTTTTTGTTTAGTTTATCTGTCCTTATTAAAAAAAAAATACCGACCTCTTTCAGGCCCAGTCACGGTTCAACCAGAATAGCCATAGGTCCTGAAGTTGATTTTTATTTCGGATTTCCACATTTATGGCATAAATCCCATAAAAATACTGTCGGCCGTTAACTTTAAATTTTAAAGTTTAAAATCAAAACTATTATTATTTTTTCCCTTTTTAAGACTAAATTTCTTGCAAAAAAAATTCAAAGATATTTACTTAAGTTTTATGCGTGGCGGTATCTATAAAAAAAAAACTTAACTTTTTTAATAAAATCTTTTTTTTTTCTTTTTTTAGCAGGATTCAAAACACTGACTGTAACTGCAAACTTAAAAAGGAGCAATCAATCAGAAGATATAGTAACCAGTTATACTAATTTATGAAATAAATGACAATGCTTTATCTCAATTTCTGACAATTTTTCCCCAACATTTCTAAAAATCTAATACTAAATATTAAACAACAAACAACAAAAAAAAGAGAAATTCGTTTATCCCACCCTTTAACAGTTAAAAACTAAAAGGGTGTGATAAACGAACTTCTCTTTTTTTTGTTTGTTAAAATTTAACAACTCCACACTTTGGTTTGGCATCAGTTCTCACTCTCCCAGGTGAATTTGTTTCGGTATTCAATTTTCCTATTTTATTATTTATAGGACCCTATTGACGCTTTATTACTCGGCCATTGAGCCACTGCCAAAAGAAAACATAATGGAATGCATAAGTGAGCATTGTAATTAACAAAAAACTAACAAAGTTTTATCAAGGTGACACTAACAAAGCTGGCCGGACACTAAAAAACATGGTAAATTCCAATGTCTTTGCAATTCTGAAAGGATAAAATTTATCATTCATCATATATTTAAATTTTCTCTTATCTTTCTTAATGGCACAAAAAAATTATGACGATAAGTTTGACGCAAGTTTTGTGTTTTTTCGTCACGAATTCTTTTTTATCTGAAGTGCGTGCAGAATGTTGAAACTTGAAATGAATAAAAAAAATTTCATGGTGAAACTTAATATATTTATATGGTTTAAACGTTACATTTTAGCACCTTTCAATCCAGACATTGGAATTTAATTTATTTTAGTTCCCAGGCAGCTTTTAGTGTCACTTGTGTTGTTTTTAATATTAACAAGTTTCGTGTCCAGCGAATTCAATATCGCAACTCGTGATAAGTTTTTAACATAACGAATCTTTTTTTTTTTTTTCTGACAATTCTGCTCAGAGAGAAAATGTTAATGTACGATTCTATGAAAAATATTCGGCATAAAATAACCAAATATCCGTATGGGACATTAATTGAAATACTGACTTTACAGATAAAAAGTTAATAAAATGATTTAGTAATGTAGAACTGAACATTTAATAAGTTTGCAAGACTTTGGCCAAAAGAAATATTCAAGGCTAGTAGTAAATAATAGATGCACAGTTTTGTTGAAAATTCAAACATTAAAAAAAAATTATTTAATTACATTGTAACTAGTAGCAATGATGTAAAAATTATGGTTCCCATTCCTCTATAAGTCGAGCTATTCAATTTAACTTTTTATCTAAATTCCCATAGTGTAGTCATCTCCTGTACTTGTATTGTGGACATCAAGGTAACACTAACAGTGATTATTAGACAGGTGCTATCAGGAAGACAAGATCCTCAGTGTTCACTACAACTCGTCATAAAAGATCCAAAGTTTATATATC